AGATTAGATGGTAAGTATCATTCCTCTCCTCCGCTGACTGCCCGTTGCTGATGGTTCCAGACTCGGAAACGATCCGCATTCTCGTCTCAACAGACAACCATGTCGGATACAATGAACGGGATCCCATCCGTGGCGATGACAGCTGGAAAAGCTTTCATGAGGTGATGTGTCTGGCCAAGGAGCAAGATGTAGACATGGTGCTCCTGGCAGGCGATCTTTTCCACGAGAACAAACCATCGCGCAAGTCCATGTACCAAGTCATGCGCTCCATTCGCATGAACTGTCTCGGCGATAAGCCTTGCGAACTGGAGATGCTGAGTGATGCGAGCGAAAACTTTCAGGGTGCTTTCAACCACGTAAACTACGAGGATCTGGATATCAACGTGGCTATCCCCATTTTCTCAATCCACGGCAACCACGATGATCCGTCCGGAGAGGGACATCTGGCTGCATTGGACCTGCTTCAGGTGTCTGGGTTAATCAACTACTATGGACGGACACCCGAGTCGGACAATATCCAGATCAAGCCAGTTTTGCTTCAGAAAGGACGCACAAAACTTGCTCTCTACGGTATGAGCAACGTCCGCGATGAACGTTTATTCCGCACATTCCGAGACGGCAAGGTCAAGTTTTACCAGCCCTCGATCCAGAAAGACGACTGGTTCAACTTAATGTCCGTCCATCAGAACCATTACGCACATACCGAGACAGGCTACCTACCCGAGAATTTCCTCCCCGAATTCCTAGACCTCGTCATCTGGGGCCACGAACACGAGTGTCTGATCAACCCGCGACTGAACCCCGAGACCAAGTTTCATGTCATGCAGCCCGGCTCATCAGTGGCGACATCCCTGGTGCCTGGCGAGTCAGTGGCTAAACATGTAGCCATTCTCAGCATCACGGGCCGGGAGTTCAAATGCGAGCCCCTCCGCCTCAAGTCCGTCCGCCCATTCGCCATGCGCGAAATCATCCTCTCCGAAGAGAAAGGCGCGCAAAAGCTTGCCCGCAAGGACAACAACCGCACGGAAGTAACCCGCCTTCTCATGGAGATCGTCGAAGAACTCATCGAAGAAGCGAAAACGGAATGGCTAGAAATGCAAGACGACACCGCAGAAGACGAAGAGCTAGAAATCCCCTTACCACTAGTACGACTGCGCGTCGAAACATCAACCCCGGAAGGAGGCAGTTATGACTGCGAAAACCCACAGCGATTCTCCAACCGCTTCGTAGGCAAAGTCGCCAACGTGAACGACGTCGTCCAATTCTACCGCAAGAAGAAAAACACCAACAGCACACGCAAACCGGGAGAAACCGATCTCGACGAGACTGCAGTCTCACATCTCTCCACCCTCGACACCGTCAAAGTCGAACAATTAGTGCGCGACTTCCTCTCCGCACAATCTCTCACCATCCTCCCACAAAACTCCTTCGGTGACGCAGTCGCCCAATTCATCGACAAAGACGACAAGCACGCATTGGAAATGTTCGTCAACGAGTCCCTTGAAAGCCAAATGAAGCACCTACTAGCCCTAGATCGCGACAACGATCTAGAGGAGGAAGAAGAAGTAGCAGAAAGCTCGTTACAAAAAGCCATGGAGAGATATCGCACGCAAATGGAAGACATGTTCTCCCGCGGCATCAAGAAACGCACCCGCGGCAAGAAGCGCTTCAAGCCCAAGCCCGACGGTTGGGACACCGAATTCGACGGTGTCTGGGAGGACCAGCCCGGCGCTCTCATCCACTCCGAAAATGAGGATGGAGACCCCAACGAAGACGTAGCCGGCGAGGATGGCGCCGAAGCACCCACCACATCACGAACAACATCGTCCACCCGCGGCCGCGGCCGAGGCCGTGGCAGCAGAGCCACCACCACTGCCACTACCGCTACAACCCGCAAAACCGCCACCACAAAAGCAGCTCCTACTACTGCTTCCAAGAAAACCACCACATCATCTGCATCTACTAAGACCCGCAAACGCCGCCCCGTCTCCTCCAACGAAGAAGACGAACAAGAAGACGTCATAATGCTCGACGACGATGACGACGACGACAACGCAGCCGCCAACATCGACGAGGATGAGGAGGAGGACGACGACGACGAAGACTCCCTCTTCGTCAAACAACCCGCCAAACCAGCCACCACTAGATCCCGCAGAACAACAAAAACAACCAGCACAAGCCAACGCCGCAAAGCCCCATCCCCAGCACCATCATCCAATACAATCGGAGGAACGGCACAAGATACGCGCAAAACTCGGGGCAAGCAAGCAACCCAAACGACGTTGAATTTCGTGGGATCGCAAAGCAGTGTGCGTGGGACTGCAGGGTCAGGGAGATCGACGAGGGCGACGAGGGCGGCGAGTGAGGATATTGAGGATGATAGTGATGCGTTTGAGCCGATGGCTAGTAGTGCGAGGCGGAGATAGATGGGTGTATTTAATGGGAGTTCGGGGGAGAAGAGGTCAGCATGGTATGGAGATGTTGGTTTAGCTGTTGCATTTATGGCGTCAAATGATAATGGTTTTTCATATAGAAGGGCTAGTTATGAGATACCACATATTACTAGTAAATTCTTTTCGGAACATCAAATTGAAAGTAGTAAAGATTTGATTGGGATTATTCGAACTACTCTTGATTAACTATTCTTAATCAATGCCAACCATTAGGACCAAACTTCCTGTCCTCAGTATATGAACCTACAACTTCCCCCTCTCCAAAAATTTAACCGGCAAATCGACATGTCTGGCCCTGAGAAACTCCGCAACATTCTTCCCCAAGAAGTCCACCGTCGTAGTGACCCCCACCCCTCTATCCAATAAATTCCTAAACAGAAAGTGTACAGCCCTCAAATTCTGCAACTCGAACCTCTCAACCCTCAGCTCCGGATTGGCAGTATACTTCTCTCCCAGGAGTTCCTTGATTCCCGACACAGACAACAATGACCGCAGCCAGCGGTACTCGTCTGCATGACGGACCCAGAACCCGCAGTTCGCGTCGGGGCCCTTGTCGCCAGACCGGGCGTGGACGATCCAGCCCAAAGGGCCACGGATGGTGGGGCCGAAGTCTAGAGTGGGGTTGTCGGTGAGGGATTGGGAGGGTTGGCGGGATGGGTAGAATTTTGTTATTGGAGGGGGTGGGATAGTGAGGGTTTGGTGGAGCCAGGGGAGGTGGACTTGATGGTTGATGTCGGATTGGGGCAGGAGGGTGACGTGGTATTCGTAGACGGGGCGGGGGAAGCCCTGGCGGGTGTCAAGGTGGAAAGTGGCCCCCGGGTAGCCTTGCATGATGGTGTCGACGATGGAGCGGAGGAAGTGCATTGGGGAGAGGTCTTCTGCGTGGCGGGCTTGGGCGACGATGCGGAGGCAGACGGTGGCGCTGTCTTGGTTGTCGGGGTTTTCGGGGGCAGAGCCGAGGGTTGAGAATTGGAGACTGGTGAACTTGGGGGTATACGGTGATAGGAGTCGGCGGATTTGGGATTCGAGCATGCGTGCCTTGGATGGGATGTCGAGGCCTACGAGGAAGTAGATCGCTTCCGCTTGGAAGCCTCCGCGGGCTGTGATGCCGACTTTGGTAGTTGGGGGTGGTGGTCCAGAGCGGACCCCATGAAGGGCGACGCGGTTGGGGCTGACTTGCTCGAAGTGGATGTCGTTCAAGATGGCAGTTACGTCGGAGTTGAAGTACCATGGGCCTTGAATCTCGTATAGAAGCTGCGATGAGCAGGTGTCGATGGTGACGGCGCCTCCGCGCGCGTAGGATTGCATGGTGATGATTACTTTACCCTCCCGGGAGATATCCGCAATGGGATATCCGATGTTGGACCAGCCGTCAGTACCGATGTGTTCTAGGGCCTTGAAGCCGGTGAAGTTGCCGCCGCAGACATAGTTGCTGCATTCAATGAGATGACCGGCTACGAATGCGTTGGCTAGCTGATCAAGGTCAGTACGATTCCAGCCATGGAACCAGTACGCCGCTCCAATGACTGGGGACGCATCGGAGACTCGTCCACAGAGTACGATATCAGCTCCTTGGGATAGAGCGGCGGCGATTCCGAGTCCTCCCAAGTAGCACTGGGCAAATATAGGCTCGAAAGGCCAATCGGAGAGGGATTCGCCGGTATAGATATTGGCGAAGGCTGACTTGCCCGACGACAATGCAGCTTTGACGGTGGACAGGACTTGGTCTCCGGAGACCCAAGCTACCTGGAATCATGTGAGCATGGCTTCTTCAGAGGTCATCTTGAGGTCGACCTTGAGTTTCAGTCCTTTTGCTTCCACCATCTGCTTGACCACGTTGTAGAGGCCCTCTGTGTCCGTGTTTCCTGCATTCACCGCCACTTTGATGCCGTATTTTGCCAGGTCTGACAGGGCTGGGTCCAGGGCTTGGAGAAAGCCAACTTCATAGCCTGGTGCCTCGATCGTCGAGGATCCATGTGTGCCTTGTGCTTTACGCTGCTGCTGTTCTACTGTACGAGCCGCTGATGCCACCATATTCGCCTCGCTCATGTAGTCAGCAATGATCACATCGACTGGATCGTGAGGATAATTGCGAGCGAACTCGGCGATGGCATGGCGACGGTCAGCATTGGACCCAGAGGCTCCTACTCAGTTTGGTCAGTGAACTATAAACAGTATTGGAGCGTCTCAAGTAGGCCGACGTACCAGCTATACGGACCGAGCGTTGGGCCATGATAGTATATAGGTGTATTGACCGCTACAGTAGAAATGGCGTGAAAAGCGAGCGAGGAACAGCAAGAGTATCTCGTCCGGTCATGAAAAGTGTTTATATAGATAGCATTTCCAGAGTTCATTGCCTAGGTAGCCAGTTCCATGGAACGGAGGGAAAGTAGGACATAGTGCGAGCTCCTCTTCAGCGAGATGCCGAGGACATTCGGTTGTCTGGGACGATGATGCGGGGATCTGCTTTCACCTGCCGCATTGCGGTCGGATCGACCGGCACGAGAAGATGATGAACAACCTAAGTGAAATTGAGTTACGCAGGCATAGAGATCAACAAGTCGCATTAATGCACCACTATGCGGGAGCGACCATTGAAAGAAGCAGAGGAAGGAAAGTCTAAGTCACATGTCGGATTAGATGAGCAGTCACGCCACCAGGCCAGCTCCAAGTGGTTACAAGCAACAGACCCTTCAGTTCTGTCACAGTTCGGACTACATTTACACGTATCCTGCCCATTGCAGGATAGCCATAGAAATAAACAACAACAGAATGGAGGTTTTGACCATCTCGATCTCGTCTCTGTGACGACGAGTCCAGTTGCCCAACTGCTTCAACCAGACAAGCTGATGGTTATCCTTGATCGCAGTGTGTAGTCCAGGTAGGCCGTCCAGACTTCGTACGTTCCACTCCTTCTGATAGGTGCGAAGCTCATTGGACTCGACTCTTTTGCCTGTCCAATGGCCTAAGGTATCGCGATCTTGAAGATACGGCTTGGTGTTGTTGGTTTTGGGGTCGACTTGCAGGGACAATCGCGGGACACCATAACCACAAGAACGTTGGACCTGTAGCCCATAACATGCATCCCATCAGTTGTTAGCATTGTATCTTGCTCGCGGCAATAAGCCAGAGGGCGCTTCCAAGAGGAGTCGGGGAGAGAACCTTGAAGACATTCAGACGGATGATAGCCCGCGCTCCCACCACTTTCTTGCCTCCCATCCGCTCGAGGTAGCCAGGGAACTCAGGCTCATCGTACTCGATCACGGAGCCAGTGCAGAAGAAGCGCACGATGCCTGGCGAGGCATCAAATGAGCAGAACATGATGGTAAGTCGACCGTTCTCACGCACATGGCTGATGGTCTCACTCCCGGAGCCGGTGGCATCAACGTAAGCTGCCTCGTTAGGACCAAGGATGGCGAAAGACGAGTCAGGAAATCCTTTGGGCGACACATTTACATGTCGTCCTTGCAGAGGTGCAGAGGCCACGAAAAAGACGCTTTGTCGCAAAGCCCAGTCTCGAAGCTCTGGGGTAATTGACGGCCAAAAGGTTGGCATTTTACGTTAGCAGCGGAATGGATATGCGATAGTCAGAAAGAAGCGAATCAAGAGAGCAGCAGGTTGCAGCACAGTAGCAAGAGGGGATGTGTGAAGCTAGGGGCTTCTTATAGGCGCGTCGTCGGCAGTGACAAAGACCAGTAACAGGGATGAGTCACGCTGCTGTCCTACTTCAAGCCTTTGTCCTTATTCGCAGAACTGTAACAGAATTAAGTTAATAATCTACACACCTTAAAGGCAGTGACTGACACCATTCGGTCGGGGGCGGCATGCACTCAGGCCACCCATTGACTTCATGCCGGGGAGTGATGGCCACACTCCAGAGTATCCCAACCCCGCCGATCGGCACTGATAACGCGGTGTTGTTGTTGTACTTTGTAGCATTGCATTGCAGCACAACAACACATACCATCCATGAGTCACTTGAGGGTAGTTGCTTCTGAATTTCGCTCTGTTGTTAAGCATTCTTTCCGGTATCTCTTCCGGTGAACGGAATGGGTTCACAACAAATTGAACTGGAGCAGTCTAATGTCTTCCCGTGCGCGTTCAAAGGCCTCGAAAAGACGTCTCCTATGTTATGGCCGAAGAAATTCCTTCACCATCAACAGTGCCATGAGCACCGGTATAGAACATTAAAACGTCTATCCTGCCAGAAGAGCCCCGTAGAAGGAATGGGGTGTCTCCCCATAAATTTCAAGGGCAAGTAAGCAGCAAGTCCACGGAGGAGTACTATCCCGAGGTTGTTTTTATGGCAGTTTGTCGGTACCAGGACCATCAAGCTTCATTCGGAAGAAAGGTCAGGCCAAAACCCACTGGCGGGATTCGCGGAAATCTGGTGAGATGAGAGGAGTCTTAACCTCCCACCGGTATAAAATCAACCCGAAGTTGGCAGATTCGCTTCTTCGGGAAAGATCGTAATCGGTATCAAAAGAGCAGAAGCCGAGGCTGGATCCGGCAGGTACAAGCCAAAGCAAACCCCACGAGGGGCACGTAAGCGGGCGCTACGGAGTAGAACCGGAGATAAGAGATGAACTGTGTAAGCTGCAGGACTAGACTAGACTGCATGCAACTAATCAATCCCTTGAGAGAAGACAAGATTCTATCGAACAGTGTCGTAGTTGCTATCTACTTGATTGGGCCGGGATTTGGTGAATTGATCATGATAAAAGCACACTAGACTAGATCACGCATTGCCATGGCAGCGGGATCTCCATAGATCTTGCCGTTTCAGATAGAAGACTTGGTCAGAGTGAACAACGGGAAAGTTCTGAATAAATTGACATGGATAGGGTTGGTTGGAGATAAGTGGGGGGGAGCAGTTTCTGGGCTGAACAGAACACTCAACCAAGTCGTCTAGACAATAGACAGCGGAAATATGCGTTGGGGTACCTTGGGAGGGGGTTGTAACTTGTAACAACTCGCCCGAGACGGGGCAAGGAGGTCTTAGATCGCTGCCCAGTAGTAAACGGTCCAGCGTATCAGCCGACCACCCCCAGGTTTGAATCCTTACCAGCTCGGGCTAAACTCCCGCCCGTCGCAGCAACAGCAGGCGAAGGTGTCATTGTGGCTAAACCTCAACGGTAACCCGCTAGTGACTTGGCGCTAGTGGATGGGTCACTTTGCTTGCTTGAGACTAATCAGACTAATGCCTCGGGATCTCTCAGCTTTTGGTCGCATTCCCCTCTTTTTCTGTTTGTTCATCTTACTTTGAGAGTTTGAGGGGTAAGTTTAGGAGATTTCACTGGTCAGTGTCCAATTGGACTATACAGGGATGTTTAAATAAATGCGTGAACTACTTACTATTACTATTCCAAGTACGAGAGACTGGCTGACTAAAATGAGGCAGCTTGCAGGTCAACAAACTAGCTCAAGAGACTAGATCCCACTTGGTTCCCCGCCACTCACACCGAGGTGGAGGGTTTCCGGAAATACGAAAAAGAGCTTGCTCCCATGCTCCATAGCTGTGAGTAATATTTCCCTAGTGAGTTACAAAAAGGAGATGATTGATAACTCACTAACCGGTTGCCTAGCTACTAGCCTCTTATTCTCCCGTCCGCTCAAAGGTCCTTCATTCCTCTTCGGTATGATGTAAGAGGAAACTAGATGTAACCATGTCAATCCAAGACTAATGATAACCATCCCCTCCACTACCAACGCCACAGGGTCTCTTGAAGAATGAATAACTACATACTACCAAGTATAAATGGCTGACACCAAAGGGGGGACCTGGATGGTGGCCATGGATAACGAAACCCCGCACGATCGCTGGCGATTGTTGGATAAAGAGTGGAGAAACGGGCTGGCATGTGGGAATCCCGACTTTTCAGGTTCCCATCATTGCCCTGGTCCTTATTATGCTTTACCGCGATATAATAATAATATGATGGCCACTATAGGGGTCTCGGGAGTACGTAGGTTAACTCGCTGTGGGTTTTCGGTCTCAAGGAGCTTGGTCTCTCCAATCGGAGCATGCAGAAGAGGGGGTGGCTATCCGCGGAGAGATTCAGATGAGGTAAATGGCAATGGATGAGACCCGGAATTCCTCCCATGGATCCGACTAGACCAGTCCAGCTGGACTAACTAGTCTGTCTAAAGCCAGTGGACGAGGATGATCTCCGCTGGCGTTTCCCCCCTCGCGCCTCACCAGCTTCCCCTCCCTTCAACCATCAGCCATCAACCACTTCTCTCTCACCCACCCCACTCCTACCTACCCCACCACTAGTAACTCAACTTCCTGTCTCCTTTATTAATTGATAGTTCTCCCCTCCCCCGCTCTCCTCTCCTTCTTCTCTTCCCTCTCTTTCTCTCTTTCTTCTCTAACCACATCTCATCTCCCCCATCTCTCATCATGTCTGACCTCTACGCTACCATCACGACCCCTAACGGCGTCAAGTATGAACAGCCTCTGGGCTTGTATGTCACCCCGCGTTCCATCCCCTCGATATTGTTTGCTTTGGGTAGAGGGTTAACCACTGTTTACTTTACCAGGTTCATTGATGGCGAATTCGTCAAGGGTGCCGATGGCAAGACTTTCGAGACAATCAACCCCGCCACCGAGAAGCCCATTGTCTCCGTCTATGAGGCCTCAGAGAAGGATGTGGACACCGCCGTTGCCGCTGCTCGCAAGGCCTTCGAGGGCGACTGGCGCCATGTCACTCCTTCCACCCGTGGCCGCATGCTGACCAAGCTTGCCGACCTTTTCGAGCGTGATGCCGAGATCCTGGTTGCTATCGAAGCCCTGGACAACGGCAAGTCTATCACCATGGCCAAGGGTGATATCGCTGCCGCTGCCGGTTGCCTGCGCTACTATGGTGGCTGGGCCGACAAGATCCATGGTCAGACCATCGACACCAACTCTGAGTCCCTGAACTACACTCGCCACGAACCCATCGGTGTCTGCGGACAGATCATCCCTTGGAACTTCCCCTTGCTGATGTGGTCCTGGAAGATCGGTCCTGCCCTCGCTACCGGTAACACTGTTGTCCTCAAGACTGCCGAGCAGACTCCTCTGTCCGGTCTCTATGCTGCCAAGCTGGTCAAGGAGGCTGGCATCCCCGCCGGTGTGGTCAATGTCATCTCCGGTTTCGGTCGTGTGGCCGGTTCCGCCATCTCTCACCACATGGACATCGACAAGGTCGCCTTCACTGGCTCCACCCTTGTTGGTCGTACTATCCTCCAGGCCGCCGCCAAGAGTAACCTCAAGAAGGTGACCCTCGAGCTGGGTGGCAAGTCCCCCAACATTGTCTTCAACGATGCCGACATTGACAACGCTATCTCCTGGGCCAACTTCGGTATCTTCTACAACCACGGTCAGTGCTGCTGCGCGGGTTCCCGTATCCTGGTTCAGGAAGGCATCTACGACAAGTTCGTTGCGCGTCTCAAGGAGCGTGCTCTCCAGAACAAGGTCGGTGACCCCTTCGCCCAGGACACCTTCCAGGGTCCCCAGGTTTCGCAGCTCCAGTTCGACCGCATCATGGAGTACATCCAGCACGGTAAGGATGCCGGTGCTACCGTTGCTGTCGGTGGTGAGCGTCACGGCACCGAGGGTTACTTCATCCAGCCTACCGTCTTCACCGACGTCACCTCCGACATGAAGATCAACCAGGAGGAGATCTTCGGCCCCGTCGTCACTGTCCAGAAGTTTAAGGACGTTGAGGATGCTATCAAGATCGGCAACAGCACTTCTTATGGTGAGTCCTTCCGGTATCAAATTGCTGCGATACCAATTGCTAATGATATGTCCTAGGTCTTGCTGCCGGTATCCACACCAAGGATGTCACCACCGCCATCCGTGTTTCCAACGCTCTCCGTGCTGGGTAAGTCACCATATTACTAATACATGAATCGAATCCACTCGCTAACAAGCACATAGAACCGTCTGGGTCAACAGCTACAACATGCTCTCCTACCAGGTTCCCTTCGGAGGTTTCAAGGAGTCCGGTATCGGCCGCGAGCTCGGCTCGTACGCCCTTGAGAACTACACCCAGATCAAGGCCGTCCACTACCGTCTGGGCGATGCTCTCTTCTAATTTCATAATAATTGACATCGTGAGAAAATTGGGAGAGCTCGCTTCGGCGACGAGCTCGTGGATCTTGGGTTAGCTTCTACGCAGATAGCCATGACTGGTTCATGTAAAACAACTAGGATACGAATTTACGATGATTACAAATTGTTACATTGCATTACTGTAGACCTTAATACTTTACCCCACCTAATCATAGTATTACTAGCTATAATCACTCCTCAGTAGTTCCAATCCGCAAATCCATTAATTTATCTACACCACTCTAGGCTCAAATCAATCAGGCCATTGCATACTCTACCCATGGTTGCACGCGAAATTACCCCCCGGGACAACCACCGGCGAAGTCGCGTCTCGGGACAATCACTACGCCGAGAAGAGAGGGCCCCCCTCGGGTCGAAGATGGCCCGAAGCGAGGACAATCATCAACCAATACACAAGGAAGCTATGTCATCGATGATGATTAACTAACTAGTTAGTAGCTCGCCAGTTAATATTAGAGCTAACTTAGTACTTAATAGACTGGTCATTCGCTGGTAGTGGACTGGTACTCGAAAA